GACCCTCCTCTTTTAGATTGTTGGCCTGAATTTTTTCTAATACCTGGTAGTGAACCAGTTGCTATGGTAAGTGGGGTGAGACTGTCTCACTGGTATACTCATGGCCCACTCTGAAGCTTCTGGTGACAGGAGCTTCCCACCCTGCCTGGGGCCAGGTGATTAGCAGAGCAAAACTGCACCAATCAGGAAGGGCGCCTGGGGAACGAATGCTGGGTAGGCACCAAACGAGGTCCCCTGTGTAGAGCTGGTCACGGCGTGTTCAGTATGTGCTCGTGCGACTGTCGTCCTCCTAGAAGGTAAGCCCTTGAGGCAAGAAGCCTTTGCTCCTGTGGATTACGATAGTTTTGTTTGTTTTGTCAGGATTTAATAAGTGTGCGTGGTCCTTTTTCAGTCAATACATGATAGGAAAAAAATATCCTGTAGAAAATATTTTGTTTTATTGTTGATTAACATGTTTTCTAGTTCTTAAGGAATTAAATTGTTTTGTTTTTTTTAAGGTTCACAAAAAGGATTCTGGCTTTTGGCGAGATTTTGGCTTTGGAATGACTTGTCAATATCGATCAGATTTCCTGACCGTTGGTAAGTATACCTTACATTTAAGGTTAGGGCTTTACATATTTACTGTAGAGCTTATGGGATTTTGCTAAAAGGTCTCAGATTTGCGTGTTCTCCTATTAAATTATGTGTCTGAGGTTAACTGAAAAGAGGAATCTGGAGATAGAAAAGGCCAAGTGAGTTTATAATTAATGTCTTTGAATAGCAAAAATGAGGTCATAAAGATAAAATAAAAGTATAGTATAATATTTACTTATTCCTTCAAAATCAAAACACCTGTTTTTTAAAAACACCTGTTTGACTTGTTACCCATATTTGCAGTTGTTTGGAGCATTCTTACAAAAGATTTCTCTGTAACTTTACTGTTGTGCTCGTGGGTGGTTACAGCTGGGCGTAATCTTGGATTAAACTAAGGGTTTTAATTCTTTTATTTTGAAATGAAAACTCCTTTAATTGTCTAGTACACTACTATGCAAAATCCCAGTATTTAAGGCAAATGAAAAACAAGGTGTTCTTTCTAGCTCTGATTAAACCTGGAGTTGGTACTTGGAGTCACAGCTCAGTTGTGCATTCCCCTCAGCCAAAAGATGGCCCTTGAAGAATCTGATCTAATCGCACTTCTCCACCCCAGCTTCGGTCTTACCCAGCCAAAACTAAAAGTGTCAGAGAATAGTTGAATAACGCAGGCTGGAACCCAATTCCATGTCTCCTGATTGATTTAGTGCTGGCTACCGTCCCACAGCCTAGAAGTCATAGAACATATTTTCACATTACATTCATTTTTACAATCAGCCATTGTTTTGGAAATCCCCCTGACTTGTGGTGTCTTTATCATTGTAATGTTTGAATAGTGGAAAATCAGGAAATAACAATAAAAAGACTATTAAATGAAACTAATATTCTTTTCCTTGATTTCTTGCTTAGTAAAACAATGATCATCCACTATCCCTCAAAAGTAGATTTTTTTATACATTTTTTCCTGCAGTGCCTTGGATACTTGCAGTTCCTTATCTCTTTTTTATATAACTTTATTGAGATATAACTCACATATCATAAAATTTACTAACTTTGTACAGTTCCCCAAGTTGTGCAGCTATTATTACCACAGTCAAATTTAGAACATTATGACCGGGCGCGGTGGCTCACGCCTGTAATCCTAGCACTCTGGGAGGCCGAGGCGGGAGGATCACTTGAGCTCAGGAGTTGGAGACCAGCCTGAGCAAGAGTGAGACCCCATCTCTACTAAAAATAGAAAAAATTAGCTGGGCGTGGTGGCACCTGCCTGTAGTCTCAGCTACTCGGGAGGCTGAGGCAGGAGGATCGCTTGAGCCCAGGAGTTTGAGGTTGCTGTGAGCTAGGATGATGCCACGGCACTCTAGCCCGGGCAACAGAGTGAGACTCTGTCTCCAAAAAAATAATTTAGAACATTATCATCACCCCACAAAGAAACCCTATACCTGTTAGCAGTCTCTCCCGATTTCCTCACCCGACCCCATTTCCCCCAAACCTAGGCATCTACATCACCTCCTATAGATTTGTCTTTTCTGGGCATTTAATATAAACTGAATTATATAATATGGGGTCTTTTATGACTGGCTTCTTTCACTCAGCATGTTTTCAGGGTTCATCCATGTTGTAGCATGTATCAGGTACTTAATTCCATTTTATAGCTGAAAAATGTTTCATCGTATGGTTATACCACATTTTGTTTATCTGTTTGTCAGTTTATAGACATTTAGGTTGTTTCAACTTTTTGGCTATTATGAATATGCTGATGACATAGATTTTCAAATTTTTTGGCTGTATACCTAGGAGTAGAATTGCTGAATTACATTGTAACCCTATGTCTGACCTTCTGAGGAATTGCCACCTTGTTTTCCAAAGTGGCTACATCATTTTATATTCCTGCCAGCAGTGTATGAGAGTTCCAGTTTCTCCACATCCTCATTAATAAATGTTATCATCTGTCTTTCTGTTTCTAGCCATTATAGTGGGGCGAAGTGGTATCTGATTGTGGTTTTGATTGTAATTTCTCTGATGACTAAGGATGTTGATCATCTTTTCCTGTGTTTGTTAGCCATTTGTATATCTTCTTTGGTGAAATGTCTATTCAGATCCTCTGGTCATTTTAATTGGGTAATTGGAGCTTTGGGGGCTTCTTGAATATATATACATTAATGTTTTCATCACATTCGGGAAGTGTCAGACATTACAGTCATCCTTCAATATCCATGGGAGACTGTATGCAGGACATCCTGTGGATATCAAAATCCATAGATGATCAAGTCTTCTATATAAAATGGTTTAGTATTTGCATGTATCCTGCGCACATTCTCCCAAATACTTTAAACCATTTCTAGATTACTTATAATACCTAATACAATGTAAATGCTATGTAAATGGTTGCTATACTGTATTTTTAATTTGTATTATTTTTTATTTTTTTCT